GAGAAAAAGAGAAACAAAGAAACAGAGAAACAGAGAAACAGAGAAACAGAGAAAGACAGAAACAAAGAAACAGAGAAAGAGAGAAAGAGAGAAAGAGAGAAAGAGAGAAACAGAGAAAGAGAGAAAGAGAGAAACAGAGAAACAGAGAAACAGAGAAAGACAGAAACAAAGAAACAGAGAAAGAGAGAAATAGAGAAACAGAGAAACAGAGAAACAAAGAAACAGAGAAAGAGAGAAACAGAGAAACAGAGAAACAGAGAAACAGAGAAACAAAGAAACAGAGAAAGAGAGAAACAGAGAAAAAGAGAAACAGAGAAAGAGAGAAACAGAGAAACAGAAAAACAGAGAAAGAGAGAAAGAGAAAAACAGAGAAACAAGGAAACAGAGAAACAAAGAAACAGAGAAACAGAGAAAGACAGAAACAGAGAAACAAAGAAACAGAGAAAGACAGAAAGAGAGAAACAGAGAAACAGAGAAACAGAGAAACAGAGAAACGGAGAAACAGAGAAAAAGAGAAACAGAGAAACAGAGAAAAAGAGAAACAAAGAAACAGAGAAACAGAGAAACAGAGAAACAGAGAAACAGAGAAACAGAGAAACAGAGAAACAAAGAAACAGAGAAAAAGAGAAACAGAGAAACAGAGAAACAGAGAAACAAAGAAACAGAGAAAGAGAGAAACAGAGAAAAAGAGAAACAGAGAAAGAGAGAAACAGAGAAACAGAAAAACAGAGAAAGAGAGAAACAGAAAAACAGAGAAACAAGGAAACAGAGAAACAAAGAAACAGAGAAACAGAGAAACAGAGAAACAGAGAAACAGAGAAACAGAGAAACAAAGAAACAGAGAAACAGAGAAAGACAGAAACAGAGAAACAAAGAAACAGAGAAAGACAGAAAGAGAGAAACAGAGAAACAGAGAAACAGAGAAACAGAGAAACAGAGAAACAGAGAAACAGAGAAACGGAGAAACAGAGAAAAAGAGAAACAGAGAAACAGAGAAAAAGAGAAACAAAGAAACAGAGAAAGAGAGAAACAGAGAAACAGAGAAACAGAGAAACAGAGAAACAAAGAAACAGAGAAAAAGAGAAACAGAGAAACAGAGAAACAAAGAAACAGAGAAACAGAGAAACAGAGAAACAGAGAAAGAGAGAAACAAAGAAACAGATAAACAGAGAAATACAGAAACAGAGAAAGAGAGAAAGACAGAAACAAAGAAACAGAGAAAGACAGAAACAGAGAAACAAAGAAACAGAGAAACAGAGAAACAGAGAAAAAGAGAAACAAAGAAACAGAGAAACAGAGAAAAAGAGAAACAAAGAAACAGAGAAACAGAGAAAAAGAGAAACAGAGAAACAGAGAAACAGAGAAACAGAGAAACAGAGAAACAAAGAAACAGAGAAACAGAGAAAGACAGAAAAAGAGAAACAGAGAAAGAGAAACAGAGAAACAGAGAAACAGAGAAACAGAGAAAAAGAGAAACAAAGAAACAGAGAAACAGAGAAACAAAGAAACAGAGAAAGACAGAAACAGAGAAACAGAGAAACAGAGAAACAGAGAAACAGAGAAACAGAGAAAAAGAGAAACAGAGAAACAGAGAAACAGAGAAACAGAGAAACAGAGAAACAGAGAAAAAGAGAAAAAGAGAAACAGAGAAACAGAGAAACAGAGAAACAGAGAAACAGAGAAACAAAGAAACAGAGAAACAGAGAAAGACAGAAACAAAGAAACAGAGAAAGACAGAAAAAGAGAAACAGAGAAAGAGAAACAGAGAAACAGAGAAACAGAGAAACAGAGAAAAAGAGAAACAAAGAAACAGAGAAAGAGAGAAAGAGAGAAAGAGAGAAAGAGAGAAACAGAGAAACAGAGAAACAGAGAAACAAAGAAACAGAGAAAGACAGAAACAGAGAAACAGAGAAAGACAGAAACAGAGAAAGAGAGAAAGAGAGAAACAGAGAAACAGAGAAACAGAGAAACAGAGAAACAAAGAAACAGAGAAAGACAGAAACAGAGAAAGAGAGAAAGAGAGAAAGAGAGAAACAGAGAAACAGAGAAACAGAGAAAGACAGAAACAGAGAAACAAAGAAACAGAGAAACAGAGAAACAGAGAAACAGAGAAACAGAGAAACAGAGAAAGACAGAAACAGAGAAACAGAGAAACAGAGAAAAAGAGAAACAGAGAAACAGAGAAACAGAGAAACAGAGAAACAGAGAAACAGAGAAACAAAGAAACAGAGAAACAGAGAAACAGAGAAACAAAGAAAGACAGAAACAGAGAAACAGAGAAACAGAGAAACAGAGAAACAGAGAAACAGAGAAACAGAGAAACAAAGAAACAGAGAAAGAGAGAAACAGAGAAACAGAGAAACAGAGAAACAGAGAAAAACAGAAAGAGAGAAAGAGAGAAACAGAGAAACAGAGAAACAGAGAAACAGAGAAAGACAGAAACAGAGAAACAAAGAAACAGAGAAACAAAGAAACAGAGAAACAGAGAAACAGAGAAACAAAGAAACAGAGAAACAGAGAAACAAAGAAACAGAGAAACAAAGAAACAGAGAAACAGAGAAACAGAGAAACAGAGAAACAGAGAAACAAAGAAACAGAGAAACAGAGAAACAAAGAAACAGAGAAAGAGAGAAACAGAGAAAGAGAGAAACAGAGAAACAGAGAAACAAAGAAACAGAGAAAGAGAGAAACAGAGAAACAGAGAAACAGAGAAAGACAGAAACAGAGAAACAGAGAAACAGAGAAACAGAGAAACAGAGAAACAGAGAAACAAAGAAACAGAGAAAGAGAGAAACAGAGAAACAGAGAAACAGAGAAAGAGAGAAACAGAGAAAGAGAGAAAGAGAGAAACAGAGAAAGAGAGAAACAGAGAAACAGAGAAACAGAGAAACAGAGAAAGACAGAAACAGAGAAACAGAGAAACAGAGAAACAGAGAAACAGAGAAACAGAAACAGAGAAACAGAGAAACAGAGAAACAAAGAAACAGAGAAAGAGAGAAACAGAGAAAGAGAGAAACAGAGAAACAGAGAAACAAAGAAACAGAGAAAGAGAGAAACAGAGAAACAGAGAAACAGAGAAAGACAGAAACAGAGAAACAGAGAAACAGAGAAACAGAGAAACAGAGAAACAGAGAAAAAGAGAAACAGAGAAAGAGAGAAAGAGAGAAAGAGAGAAACAGAGAAAGAGAGAAACAGAGAAACAGAGAAAGAGAGAAACAGAGAAACAGAGAAAGAGAGAAACAGAGAAACAGAGAAACAGAGAAAGAGAGAAACAGAGAAACAGAGAAACAGAGAAAGAGAGAAAGAGAGAAAGAGAGAAAGAGAGAAACAGAGAAAGAGAGAAACAGAGAAACAGAGAAACAGAGAAACAGAGAAAGACAGAAACAGAGAAACAGAGAAACAGAGAAACAGAGAAACAGAGAAACAGAAACAGAGAAACAGAGAAACAGAGAAACAAAGAAACAGAGAAAGAGAGAAACAGAGAAAGAGAGAAACAGAGAAACAGAGAAACAAAGAAACAGAGAAAGAGAGAAACAGAGAAACAGAGAAACAGAGAAAGACAGAAACAGAGAAACAGAGAAACAGAGAAACAGAGAAACAGAGAAACAGAGAAAAAGAGAAACAGAGAAAGAGAGAAAGAGAGAAACAGAGAAACAGAGAAACAGAGAAACAAAGAAACAGAGAAACAGAGAAACAGAGAAACAGAGAAACAAAGAAACAGAGAAACAGAGAAACAGAGAAACAGAGAAACAAAGAAACAGAGAAACAGAGAAACAAAGAAACAGAGAAAGAGAGAAAAACAGAGAAACAGAGAAACAGAGAAACAGAGAAAGAAAGAAACAGAGAAAAACAGAGAAACAGAGAAACAGAGAAACAGAGAAAGACAGAAACAGAGAAACAGAGAAAGAGAGAAAGAGAGAAACAGAGAAACAGAGAAACAGAGAAACAGAGAAACAGAGAAACAGAGAAAGACAGAAAGAGAGAAAGAGAGAAACAGAGAAACAGAGAAACAGAGAAACAAAGAAACAGAGAAACAGAGAAACAGAGAAACAGAGAAACAAAGAAACAGAGAAACAGAGAAACAGAGAAACAAAGAAACAGAGAAAGACAGAAAAAGAGAAACAGAGAAACAGAGAAACAAAGAAACAGAGAAACGGAGAAACAGAGAAACAGAGAAACAAAGAAACAGAGAAACGGAGAAACAGAGAAACAGAGAAACAGAGAAACAGAGAAACAGAGAAAGAGAGAAACAGAGAAACAGAGAAAGACAGAAACAGAGAAACAAAGAAACAGAGAAACAGAGAAACAGAGAAAGACAGAAAGAGAGAAAGAGAGAAACAGAGAAAGAGAGAAACAGAGAAACAAAGAAACAGAGAAAGACAGAAACAGAGAAAGAGAGAAACAGAGAAACAGAGAAACAGAGAAACAGAGAAACAGAGAAACAGAGAAACAAAGAAACAGAGAAAGAGAGAAAGAGAGAAACAGAGAAACAGAGAAACAGAGAAACAGAGAAACAGAGAAAGACAGAAACAGAGAAACAAAGAAACAGAGAAACAGAGAAACAGAGAAACAGAGAAACAGAGAAACAAAGAAACAGAGAAAGAGAGAAAGAGAGAAAGAGAGAAAGAGAGAAAGAGAGAAAGAGAGAAAGAGAGAAACAGAGAAACAAAGAAACAGAGAAAGAGAGAAAGAGAGAAAGAGAGAAAGAGAGAAAGAGAGAAACAGAGAAACAGAGAAACAGAGAAACAGAGAAAGACAGAAACAGAGAAACAGAGAAACAGAGAAACAGAAAAACAGAGAAACAGAGAAACAGAGAAACAAAGAAATAGAGAGAGAGAGAAAGACAAAAATAGAGAAACAGAGAAACAGAGAAAGACAGAAACAAACAAAGAAACAGAGAAAGAGAAAAAAAAAACAAAAAAAAAACAAACAAACTCAAAGGAAAAAAAGAGAAAACCTTAAAAAACAAAAAAAAAAAAAAAATCAAAAAACCTCCTCAC